CAGCGACTCATGGCAGCCCAGCTCCAGTTGAGCTGTTGTTCAGCATCTTAGCTGTAGAGGGCAGTGTCACTGGCCCTCATATGTGGGATCCAAACCGGTGCCCTCTGGTGGCTTAAACCAATGCGCCACTCTGCCAGCCCTATGTTTAACTTTTTGAGGAATCTCCAAAGTACTTTCCACAGCAGCTGTACTATTTTACATTCCCACCAGCAATATATGAGGATTCTAATTTCTCTCACCAACACTTTTTATTATAGCCATCATAATGGATGTGAAATGGTATCTACTGTGTATTTTTTATGCTATTTAATTTATTTCTCCTGCCAAAAAATAGATACTTCATTGTCAGTAAATAACAGGAAGTCATAAGCTGTTTTCAGTCAGATTTGCTTTTCACTGTTGTTTTGATTTGCATTTCTCTGATGACCAGTTATGTTAAGCATCTTTTCATGTGCTTATTAACTATTTGTATTATCTTCCTTGGAGAAATGTCTATTTAGATCATTTCCTCATTTTTTTTTCTAAAGATTTTTTTTTTTTAAGATTTTATTGGGGAATTGGGGAAGGGGAACAGTGTTGGGGAATCAGGGAAGGGGACCAGCCAAGTTGTTGTTCTTCAGTCTTCGTTGTGGAGGGCGCCTGTCGCCATCTGGCTTCCCGTCGGCAGCTCATGGCCTCCAAGCTCAAGGTGCTGTGTTCAATCCTAGCTTCAGGTGGGCACAGCCACCATGCCTATGTTGTACTCCTCATCTCTGTTAAGAGCAGTACCCCTCACCCAGGTGCCCAGCCAGGGATCTCCGAGTTCCCCTTGACTCTCTCCTTCTCATCTCTTCTGTCAGTTCTCATCTCTCCATACCTTTGCCTGTCATTGTCCATCTTTAATCTCCCAGACTTTAGTCCAATCTATCTATTTTAAAATTAAGATCTCACCAAGCAGCTCTCCTACTTAAATACTCCCAGCAGAACTCCATTCACATGATAAAATCTAAATGTCTAGTGCAGTAGAAAAAGTTTTTCATAGTATATTCCCAGCCTGCCTCTGTGGCCGCATTCCTTACTACTGCCTGAAGCACATCAACCGTCAGTTTCTTAATGTTCCTTGAACAGACTATGTTCTTCACAACTCTGTACTTTAAAACATGCTGGGGTTTTTTTAAGGTTTTTATTGGGGAATTGAGGGATGGAAACAGTGCTGGGAAATTGGGGGAAGGGGAACAGACAAGTTGCTGTCTTTTTGTTCTTCAGTCTAGTTGTGGAGGACGTTGCTTCACTGGCCCAAGTTGGCACCATCGTTGCGCTCTTCCCGGGCAAGGCACATCAGTCGCCGGCTTCTGGACAGCCGCTCACGGTGGCTTGAGGGCCGCTCACGCTGGCTGCTGGCTACACATGGTAGCCCATGGCAACCCACTGCAGCAGGGGCTGCAGCCTACGCTGTCACCGGCAAAACATGCTATTTCTAATGCTGAGTTATCTCCTACTCTCCTTGTAGAATTACCTGAATTATCACCTCCTCCCTGAAGCTTTCCCAACTTTCCGGATGGTATCTGCAATCCCTCCCCCGCAACCCCCCGTGTGCTTTGTACCAGGCCTTAATCTCTAATCCTTGCCACTACACAGGAACAGGGATTGTATATCATTCTTTATATTCCCAGAGACTTCCTTGCAGAATACCCAGCACACAGTAGGTGCTCAAACACTGAATTGATAAGGAAAGGTTTGCATTTCTTTTGTACTCCCACTGTTATATTGGCCCTTAAACATTGTCAAAGAACTAGGTGACACAAGAGTTGTGGACCAGAAGAGTCTTTAGTAAAGAAAACTTCCCTTTCACCTATTTCCCTGGTTCTTCCCTTCCAGCCCTTTCCGCCTTATCTCTCAATCAGCAGACCTGGGCTATGTGGGTGGTGCTTTGTATAATAAAATACAAGTCTTTGATTTGATTCTGTCTTTAATTTCACTCTACTCAACTCTGCTCTTTCCAAAGTTTTAGTAAATAAGCATACATTCTCTCTTGGCATTAGGCTACAAGTGGAGCAAGAAGATTCTATTACAGCTAAGAATCATCCGAGCAAACAGAGGAAAGGGGAGCATCAAAATTGTGCTGGAAGGAAAATGGCTTTCAGGCTCTTGGAAGAGAGTTGCCCACTCTGATCCTTTGGCTTTGATCTCCATGTCTCCATTAGAACAAGGTATTATCTTTAACCAGCTCTTTGTTTCTGTGCCAGGAATGTAGACCAAGGGGTTGTACTTAGAAACAAAAAAGAATAACACCAATAAAATGCTGTCAGAAACAGACACAACATGAGCAGATGAGCCCTTACGAACATACTCAAAAAGAATCAAGTTGCTTAGGCTAGAAAAAAATGACAAAGATTTATTAAAGGGCCTTAGGGTCCTGCATTCTTTTCTTAGCCTCTGAATTGGTCCAGGATGGTAATCTTCAGCTGCCTGGTAGTCTAAATGATGGAACAATTTCTTCTTGATGTCATTCAGATGGTCATCTGCGGGTCTGATGTATATTCAGGTATTGACTCAAGATTGGAAAGTTCAGATGGGTAAGTTCAGGCTAGTTAGGCAAGAATAGAATTGTTTCCTCATGCCTCGGCGTACTTTGTTTTAATAATTTAACAACTTGACCATAGTGACTTCATTTTATTTCTTTACTCTATTCCTCAGTCCTTATCAAGCAGAGACAAGAAGCAGGAGCAGCCTTGGCTATGATATAGAAACAAGAGAGGAGGTAATCCCTGATGCAGTTAACCAGCTTCCTCTGGAGCTGCAGCTACTGCTGACCAGAGGAGACTCAGGCCCAGGACTTCCTGAAGGCAGCTGCTATCGCCACTCATCCATAGAGATCATCACGTGGGCAGAGTGGAGACAAAGAAACACCAAGACCCCTGAATCTTCTCAGACAGCATCCTCTTCTCTGGGAGAATGGTAGTTTCATTCACAGAACAAAGAGATCAGGGGGCAGGTGGTCTCTCATTTATGGCTGTGAAACCTTGAGGTCACTTTTGCCCCTTTCACACACGTTCCCTCTCCCTCACCGCCTATCATCTAATGAGTTGCTAAGTCCCGCCAAGTTCACCTCACAGGGTCTCTCTAGCATTTACCAATCCTCTTCATCCTCGCTGCCATGGCAGAGCATGAAAATGGGAGAGGGGACACTGCCACTGTCAACCCCAGCTCTCTAACCATGACCTTCTTCCTGTCTGTATTAGTTTTCTAGGGTTCTTATCACAAGTATCACAAATAAATGCCTAAAAAAAACCAACAGAAATTTATTCTCTCACAGTTCTGGAGGCTAGAAGTCCAAAATCATAGTGTTAGCAGGGTGGGTTCCTTCTGTAGGCCTTAAAGAGAATCTGTTTCATGCCCCTCTCCAAGCTTCTGGTAGTTGCCAACAATCCTTTGTATTGCTTGGTTCTTAGACGCAGCACTCCAGTCTCTGTCCCTCTCTGTTTCTCCTCTCTGTGTTTATCCCTGTCACTGTTTTCTTATAAGGACTCCAGTCATTGTATTTAGGGCTCACCCTAATGCAGTATGACTTCATTTTAACTAATTACACCTGCAAAAAGCCTATTTCCAAATAAGGTTTCGGATAGACATGGACTTTTGGACGGCGCTGTTCGACTCAGTACACAGCTTTTTCAGCTCACAATCTCACTCCCACACTTGCTCTTTCCCCTTTTGGGGTCCTCTAGTCTCACCGCCTCCCTTTTTTCAGTGTGTGAGTCCTCTGTTGACCACTGACATTTCTATCCAGTCTTGACCATAACGTTGATGACCTGAACCTTACCACCCTTTCCTCTGACATTCCATGGGATACACAGGCTTCTGTCATTTGCTAACGGAAGCTGCATTCCTGTGAGGATTGGAGCCAAAACAAAACCTTTGTCTCCAATCGCAGCCGGGCCCTCCATGCCAGTCAGCAGTTTTCAATGACTCTTGCAAAGCTTCTCCTCTCTTTCTGAGCCCCACCTGACCAACCCTCCTTTAGTCTCAGGAGCTGACTCCCTACTTCATGAAGAAAATTGAGCCACAAAGCTTCAAGGACCTGAACAACCTGTTCCCCCTCCATTTACCTACATATATAACTAACCTCACCTCTTCTCCCTGTGTCACAGAGTGAGCTGACCCCTCTGCTCAGGCCGGTCCAGTCTCCTCACAGCCCCTCTGGGAGCAGAGCTTCAACCATCTCAGCTCTGTCTCTCAACCTGCACCCATGCTCAAGTCACTCCAGTGTTAAAACATGCCCTCCTCTGATCCTGTTTCCTTCTAGCTAATGCCTCCGTCCTTCCCAGCCTTCCTCCCTCTCTCCCTCTTTCCCTGTCTTCCTCGTTCCCTCCCTTTCTCTTTCTCTCTCATTAACTGAGCTGCTTGAAAAGTTATCTCTGTGGTTTACGTCTTCTCCCTTCCATTCACTCGGAAGCCACCTGCTTCACGGAGCATTCCCAGGCCCCTCAGTGAGAGGTGGCCACTCTTCCCGCCCTCCTTGCTCTAAACCCCAGTGTTTCAGAATTGTCCTGTTTGTGTTTTCGTGTCTTCCAGATTCAGAACAGGATGACCTCGGGCAGGCCGAGTGGCGCGTTGGTTGGAGTTGGCTTGGGGCGCCGGCTCTGAGCAGAGGGATCCGGTTCGGATCCCACATGCGGGCCAGTGGCGCTGTGCCCTCTACAGCTAAGATGGTGAACGGCAGTTTGACCTGGAGCTGACATGCCGTGGGTCGCTGGTGACAGCGTGGGCTGCACTGGGGCTGGCCAGTAGCTGGCGTGAGCTTTTGTGAGCTGCCGTGAGCCACCATGAGTGGCTGGCTGTCCGATGGCCGGCGAGCGATTGCCTCAGCTGGGAAGAGCGCAATGATAATACCAACATGGGCCAGTGAGGTGACGTCGTCCACAACTAGACTGAAGAACAAAAGGACAGCAACTTGTCTATTCACCTTCCCTGATTCCCCAACGCTGTTCCCCTCCCCCAATTCCCCAATAAAATCTTAAAAAAAAAAAAAAGAACAGGATGACCTTGCATATGTGTAAAGACTATAAAGTCAGTCAGTCTGGCCCCACTGTGTTCTCCTAAGCCCAGTTAGAGTGTCCATTTTCCTTGATGTGGCTGGATGAGTGGAGTGGGCCCCAAAGGCCAGGACAGACAGCAACTTAACAGAAAAAGGAAATAGACCCTGTTTCCAAGGGTCTCCTCCCCGTGGATGCCTCCACTGCCACTGCCTTCAATGAGCAGCAGCTAGTGGCAATTTGGGCAGGGAAATGGGGGAAGGGCACTGAGAGGGCTGCTCTCCCAATGGTGCCACCCTTCTGACCTGCTTACCTCCCTTCTGACCTGAAGCCTACAGGTGCACAAGATGGCATAGGAAACATGAATTCACTTCACGTGTGGCTTTGCGGGTCCAGTGTTGGCCAGCTCATCCCCTCTCCTACACTTTAACGGCGCAGCCGCAGGAGAACCGCTCCTCCACTCTACGGACAGGTCTTCCCTGTTATTCTCTGAGGCAATAATAGCCACCAATTATTAAACACTTACAATATGTCAGGCCCTGAGCTAGGTGCTTTACATACCAGTTCATCTTACAGCAACCTAGTGAGGCAGGTACTATTTTTTCCCATTTTAGAGGTGAGAAATTAAGATTTGAAGAGGTTAAATAACTTGCCCAGAGTCATGCTGCTAGTCAGTAACGGACACTTCCCCAAGCCCTGGTTTGGGTGATGCCAAAAGCACATGCTTGTGGCCACTACCCCAGCCTGCCTTCTCTTCTCCAAAGGTCAACCTTGATCTCAAGTTTCTCCTGATCTCATGGATAATGGTTCTGAGGTGCATTTATAAGATGTGAGCTGCCCAAGTGACACAATACTCCCTCTTCCCCTGTGGCTTGCCCACTAGCTTTCTCTTCCATTCTCTATCACAGAAATCCATGAGGGGTATAGGTGGAGCGGGAGTGACTGAATAGGGAGCAACAGATAGGAGCTCTTATTAGATAGATTCCATCCTACTCTACTAGGGACAAGGATTGGGGTTGCCTTCTATCCGTTTTCATATCTTTAGCGCCCTAAAATGTGTGCTGAGTGAAGGAAAACGCTTTTACTCCTGGTAAAAAAATCTACAAGCACATTTATTTGCGTTGGTGTGAAAATGTTGCAAAAGCAGATTCTCATCTTTTTTTTTTTAAGATTTTATTGGGGAATTGGGAAGGGGAACAGTGTTGGGGAATTGGGGAAGGGGAACAGCCAAGTTGTGTCCTTCAATCTTAGTTGTGGAGGGCGCAGCTAGCTCAGTTCCAAGTCCAGTCGCCATCCGGCCACCTGTTGGCAGCTTGCGGCTGCTCAGCTCAAGGTGCTGTGTTCAATCTTAGTTGTGGGTGAGCGTAGCCCACCATCCCATGCAGGAGTCTAACCAGCAACCTTGTTGCTAAGAGCACACACTCTAACCACTGAGCCTTCCGGCCACCTGTGGGCAGCTCAGGGCAGCTCAGCTCAAGGTGCCGTGTTCAATCTTAGTTGCGGGTGGGCGTAGCCACCATCTCGTGCGGGAGTGGAACCGTCAACCTTGTTGCTAAGAGCACACACTCTAACCACTGAGCCATCCTGCCACCTGTTGGCAGCTCAGTGGCAGCTCAGCTCAGGCACAGCTCACTGGCCCATGTGGAAATCAAACCGGTGACATTGTTGCTCAGAGCTCACGCTCTTAATCAACTGAGGCACTTGTCCGGCCCCCAGATTGTGATCTTGACTCTCTTCCCGCATTATCAGAGTGTCATCTTAACAGCCCTGCTGAGATGACCTGGCATAGGGAGGCCTTTGACATCTGTTGTCAGAGACTTGCAGATGATTTGGACATAAAGTTTTCACAAAGATTTAATGTGATAATTTAGGTAAAACCTGGCACAATTGTCATTAAAAGGGAAGTGTTTATAGTAAAGTACAAAACATAAATCACTATAGGTAATCCTCTAAAGTAATACCCAAATGAGTGAGGCAAAGGGGGTGGCCATTTTACCTCCCTGTTGTTCTTGCCACTGTGGGCGGTACGGATGAAAACACATCAGAACCTGCTTCTCTTACGGTTCTGCTTGTCTTAGGGCTCTCTCCCATACTCAGAATAAAACCCAACTGCCTCCTCTGAGGCCAGGCCTGCCTTCATCTGCTCCTGCCCCTATTTCGGATCTCATCTCATACAGCCTCCCTCTCTGGTCTCTTGGCTGAGGGGGCAGCCCAGAACCTTCTGCTTTAGGAGCTCTGCATGTGCTGTTTCTCTCGTCCTTCAGGGCTAAGTGGAAATGCTATCCCCTTCACTAACCACCCAGCAGTGTCCTTGTCTGTACTTGTTTTGTGTTTTTTTTTTATAACTACTGTATCCTCAAGAGTGTTTGACAAATAGGTGTCAAATAAATAGTTGTTAATTGAGTTGCATGAAGGAACAGGGCCGTTGCCCCTTTAGGTGGGTCTTGTTTTCTTGGAGTCTTATCTGTCCTCGGGGCTCTTTCAAGGTGATGCTCTGAAAGATTTTAAAACTTTTGGTTGATGTGCAGGTATTTAAAAAAATAGGAAAAAAAACCCACAACGAAACCCTTTCTGTTTGTGAGGCTAGTAGATGATTGCTTGAAGTATTTTTAGTAGTTCCTGGACACCATCCATTTCCTGAATCTGCCTGTTGCCCTTACCTTGAGCACTAACTGCACATCAGTGTAGTTTATTGTCTCCACCTCTGTATTCTAGATTTCTTGACATGTGGCTTTCTTGATTTCTAATCTAACAAGGAAAACCTAGTTTCACAGCTTTTTATCCCAATTAAAATTATTCTGCCACAGTGGTAAGAGGAGTGACAAAATTTAATTGCCCAATTCTTCATTAAGAGTTGGTCAGCTTCAAAAAGAGGTCTGAGTGTACCCTCACCCAGATACTTTTAGCAGGGTCCCAGCCGAGGGACAGAGGCAGCAGGTTTAGGACTTCTGAGGAGCCAGGCTGTTTGTTGCCTCTGAGCATCATTAGGAGGTGCTCTCCAGGGGAGAAAGAAGTAAGTAAGGACTAGAAAGCTTTTCCAAGGGAAAAAAAGAGTTAAGGAGAAAAGTGAATGCGTGACAATCCTATGAAAACAAAAACTAGCATAGACCAGGGATATGAGGTATGATTGAAAAATACAGTGAATGTTTAAATAAAAATTTTTATTACAGTAAAAGACACATTGCCACTAATCCCCCTCAAAATATTCTCCCTCACTTCCAACACACTTATCCCATCATTCTTTCCACTTTCTGAAGCAGTTCTGGAAGTCCTCTTTCATGAGTGTCTTTACTTCATCCTCCATCATGACAACATTCTGTGTCACACATCACTTCTGGTATGGCAATTTCTGTCAAATGAAAACATTACGGTGTGTCCTCATCTACCTTATTCACCAGATCTGGCACTGTGCGACTTCTGGCTCTTCCACAAAGTCAAAATGACCATGAAAGGAAAATGTTTTGAATCAATTCAGGACATTGAGGCAGCCATGACAGTGCAACTAAAGACACTCTCGAAGGAGGACTTCCAGAACTGCTTTGAAAGTGGCAAGAACGATGGGATAAGTGTATTCGAAGCAAGGGGGAATATTTTGAGGGGGATTAATGTCAGTGTGTCTTTTACTGTAAAAATTTTTTTTTATTTAAACATTCACTCTATTTTCTGATCACACCTCATATGGGGCTTTATATATTCACTCACTCCTTCATTCTCTCCTGCATTTATGCATCTATTCAACAAACATTTAGGGTACCAAACTAATTCCCAGATGA